TGTGACCAACACCTTTGTCCCCACTCCTCCCCCAGCCTGGAGCTGCTTGGGGCTGTTGTGTCCCAAGGGCAGGATAAGCACTGAGCCTTACTGACGCTCATGCAGTTGTCCTCAGGCCACAAGAAGTTCAGAGAATCATTCAGGCTGGAAAAAACCTCTGTGACCAACACCTTTGTCCCCACTCCTCCCCCAGCCTGGAGCTGCTTGGGGCTGTTGTGTCCCAAGGGCAGGATAAGCACTGAGCCTTACTGACGCTCATGCAGTTGTCCTCAGGCCACAAGAAGTTCAGAGAATCATTCAGGCTGGAAAAAACCTCCAAGATCATCTCATCACACTGCCAAGTCCTTTGTGACCAACACCTCTGTCCCCACTCCTCCCCCAGCCTGGAGCTGCTTGGGGCTGTTGTGTCCCAAGGGCAGGATAAGCACTGAGCCTTACTGACGCTCATGCAGTTGTCCTCAGGCCACAAGAAGTTCAGAGAATCATTCAGGCTGGAAAAAACCTCCAAGATCATCAAGACACCATCCCTGAAGGTGCTCAAGGAACAACTGGACGTGGCACTCAGTGCTCTGGGCTAGTTGCCAAGGTGGTGATGGGTCACAGGTCAGACTGGATGATTTTGGAGGTCTTTTCCAACCTAAATGCTTCTGTTTAATACCTCCAAGTGACCTACAATGAGTGGCAGACAAGCCTTAGGCTGTTTCCAGCCCATCTGCAGGATTTAGCAGCACATAACATGTTTCCCTTCCCAGGCAGAGCACCACCCCGGGATCCTCGAGGTAGCTCCTACTGTCTGACCCACTCAGCTCTTGCCAAAATCCCAAGCCTTATTTTTCAGAAGGAAAAATGTATTTCTCCAGTCCTTTCAGCCTGTTTTCCAACCTGAATTGTGTGCTTTGCTTCCCCTTCCCTGCAGCTTCCCATCGAAGAAGTGCGATCAGTGAGGTTAGCTCTGCTTCTTGCCTGAGCTTCTGCAGCTAAATGTGGCTATTTAAACCAGTTTCTGCACAGAATGTCACAAAATGTCTCTGTGGAAGCTCTTTTCAAACAGCTGCTGTGTTGGTTGTGTTGGTCGCACTGTGGATCACAGCCCTGCTGCCTCCTCTGAGGCACAGCAGATGAGCAGGAGCAGCTGGGAAACACAAGAATCTCATCCTAAAAGCCAATACCCAGCTAAAGCTCTCCGAATTCCTGGTTTATACACCCAGCAACTACAGCAGTCCATAAGCAAATTGGATAACATTCCTGCCTCAGAGGTCTTGCTGTCAAATCAGGTACAACAAGCTGAAGGAGCCACCAGACAGCTCAGAGCCTCTGGAGAAGGGCAGGTGGACATCTGCTTC